TGGGCCCTGCTGAATATCTATAACCCTGTTTCAATAGACCTTGATAAAAGTTTGTCTCATGCACTTAGGAAAGACATGAAGTCTATAAAATCATTATTACAAATTTAGGATATAGTTTTTACAGAAACTATTGAACCCAGTGGAAAACCATCTGTTCGTGATATTATCTTACTCAGTGGACTTGTGGATAGAGCAGTCCCAAGAAAAAATAGACCAAAATATCATCCAAACTTGAAGTGGCTGTTGGCACACTACTTTGAGATGTTGAGGCAATGTCCTTAGTAATGGGCATTTGTTTGTCCACCGTTGTGTTGTCTGTGCGGGCATTACTGATTTCTTTCTGTTATTTCGATATGGCCAATATAGCTTCTGCAAGTGTTACCCAGTTTGGATGGTGTCTGTTTCTAGTTTGGTGGCATGGTTAAACTCTGGAAAAAATTAAATTGTTAACTACTATACAGTACATGAAAATTTATCTTTTCTAGACCAAGTGCTCTGATCCAAATCAACATATTTTGCCATGTTCTATGCAATTAAACATACATGGTAGATTCTGAGACAATGACATAATAAATTTACTTTGGGTATTGCACAAGTGCAATACATCAACAGGGAAGGACAGGTTGTGTAAATTCCAACAAGAGAATATGTCTACATATGTGTAGTATAAATTATTCTCATTATGTCATTAAATTTCCAAGAAAAGAAAGCAAATGTGCATGCTTGAGCATTCTAGTTATATATTTATATAAGTATTATATATAAATTGAATAACTTGTGCGTGTAATTCAGGAGGAACATGACAATGCAAAATATGCATATTATTCAGTACACACTTCTTCATAATTTATTTAGGATACCTATGGTCCTGAATCCACTTAAGAAAAAAGTGCATATGGTCATTCATGAGTCAACAAAATACATTTGCATATAGTCCTGCACAAGTCAACAAAATACATGTGTATATGGTCCTACACAAGTCAACAAAAATGCATGTCATTATGCAATACCATGCAAGTCCTGCACAACTCATTAAATATATGTGCATATGGTCCTGCACAAGTCAACAAACACATGTGCACATGGTCCTGCACAAATCAACAAAACACAAGTGCATATGGTCTTGCACAAGTCAACAAAATACATGACATTGTGTATATGGTCCTACACAAGTCAACAAAATATATGTGCATATGGTCCTGCACAAGTCAACAAAACACATGACATTGTGTATATGGTCCCACACAAGTCAACAAAATATATGTGCATATGGTCCTGCACAAGTCAACAAAATACATGACATTGTGTATATGGTCCCACACAAGTCAACAAAATATATGTGCATATGGTCCTGCACAAGTCAACAAAATACATGACATTGTGTATATGGTCCTACACAAGTCAACAAAATATATGTGCATGTGGTCCTGCACAAGTCAACAAAATACATGACATTGTGTATATGGTCCTACACAAGTCAACAACATATATGTGCATATGGACCTGCATGAGTCAACAAAATATGTGTGAATATGGTCCTACATGAGTCAACAAAATACATGTGCATATGGTTCTGCAAAAGTCAACAAAAACAAAATATATGTGCATAAGGTCCTGCATGAGTCAACAACATACATGTGCATATGGTCCTGCACAAGTCACTTAGTCAACAAAAAACATGTGCATATGGACATTATAGTCCTATATGAGACAACAAAATACATATGCATCTAGTTCTGCACAAGTCAACGAAATGCATGTGCATATAGTCCTTCACGAGTCAACAAATTTAATACATGTGCATATGGTCTTTCACAAGTCAACAAAATACATGTGCATATGGTTCTGCATGAGTCAACAAATGTGCATATGGTCTTGCACAAATCAACAAAATAAATGTGAATATGGTCCTGCACAAGTCACAAAATACATGTGTATATCAGTGGTATATGGTCCTGCACAGTACACATAAGTAGTGTATGTGGTCCTCTATACTAATTCTCATGTAAATAAGTCACCTCATACATATGGTTGTGCACCCACACCAACAATACTACACAAGCATTAAATTATGTAAATCATTCTGCATATATATATATATATATATATATATATATATATATATATATATATATATATATATATACCTGTACAAGCTGTGCATATGGTCCTGCACAGTTAACGTTATAAGTGTATACGTGGTCCTACACTACTCCTTAATTCAATAATTGAAAATTCAAATCATACATAACAATATTTGTGTACCCATACTGGCAATACTACACAAACATTACATAAGGCAACTAACTCGGCACCAAATTATTAGCTCGGTTAGCAATGGATAGTAAAATTGAGTAAGTTCCTTCATTGTTCAAACACTTACAAAGGAAAGCAGGATTTGTTACCAATTATAACACTCTTTACTGGTAAAATAGTGCAAAATTATCAAGGAAGTAAGAAACCAAAAAAACTCGAGCCTTTAATTATGAGCTAGTTGTCTTAATTTTTAATGGATTACACATGACTTCAAAAGAAGTACTATTATACTGGCCTGTCTTATGCTGGAAGTGCAGGACTGCCGAGTGAATACTAAACCAGAATCGATGGAGATCTCACAACTTGTAAAAAAGTGAACACTGCCGAGCTTTTTATAATCACTCATCAAGATATGGTTTATGAAGACGACTTTGACATTGAAGTCCTCTGAAGAAGCCAAAGGTTTCCGCTTTAACAAACAGTTTTTTATTCCCCGGCCCAGGTGAATGTAAGAAGCTAAACTGTCTTGTGATATTTTGGATGGACAGCGTAGGGAAATGTCGTTTTCACATAAATGCACATAGCACATACATCATGTACATGTGGTGGTACCTCAAAGTTAAGCAGATCGCCAAATAGACGAATGTTTCTTCATTTTACACCATCGCAGGCACTATAACTGGTACTGTTATTGATCGTTTACCAAATTCACTTCAAATGTCCATATAATTCCCAAGACCACTCGTAAAATGTTTTGTGACTACTCTATAATGCCCGGATGTAAACCTTACAAGTTGGGATGATTTCGTAACGAAACACAAAACTCACTTTACAGACGTTTTTCTGCAACTAACAAGCTGATCACATAGTCCAAAATATTCAAAACGATATAACAACAAAAACTGTAAGGATAATCTCTGGGAAATATGGTATTAATTCGAAAAATTCAGCAGTTCAATAAACGTTACTTTCTCTTTTTGGTAAACAGATCAATAATGATCACGTGATGGAAAAGAGCTTTGCTGATTGGTTGAACCCATATTAGGGTAAGGGAAAAGGGTAAAACTAGTTAAATAAATTGAACAGTTTAGCTGCTTAGTATAAAACTAGGTACAATACAAACATTGTTATATAATAAAATTATTATACTAGAACATGTCACATAAATGAAATTATTTGCAACAAGCATTCTGAGAGTATTGCATTAGCAATACTAGTCCCCTACCGGCAAGTGTAATCTGGTTCCGTTCCCGTTAAGAACTGAAAATGCCATAATTCCGTCAAAAATTAATGAAGCGGGACGAAATGCAAACTTGATCTATAACTAATCAAGGTAAAGCCACATACCAAAAATCAGCTCAATATCTACAAGCGTTTAGAAGAAAATTGCGGAAAACCCGTAAAAATTGAAAAGGCCGTAATTCCGTCAAAAATCAATGAAGCGGAACGAAATGCAAACTTGATCTGTAACTCATCAAGATACACTCACATACCAAAATTCAGCTCAATATCTGCAAGCGTTTAGGAAAAAAGTGCGGAAAACCAAGTGGGACAGACTGACAGACAGACAGAGGGACAGACAGACAGACGGACAGACAGACGGACGGACAGACGGACGGACAGACTCAGAGGAAACCTATAGTCCCCTCCGGTTTCACCGGTAGGGGACTAATAATTACTATTTGATGAATAATTTCAATTTGGCGTAAAAATAAACATATCTTACCTAGCTGCCACTATCTATCATAAATTTGTCTTTGAGAGGTTGACCAGACAACATTTTTTGTTTACAACGGGGCGTTTAATATTGAACGCTCGTATTCGGAATTTTTCGGGCATATAATATACTCATATATATACGTAATACAAACTCAGCGTTCAACAAAACGCCAAGATATTGAACGCGAAAATTTTCTAGACTTTAAATAGTTCTTTTTATTTTTACTTACTATTTAGCAGCTATATAATAAGATAAAATTATTGTACCTTCAAAAATGTAAACGATATATACTTCCAATATGAATTGCAGCACTCTTTACAAAGAGTTTTCAACAACTGTTATGATTAAAAGATGTATGGTTTAATAGATGAGGTTGTGCTTTAAAGGTGCTTTACTTAAATAGCATTACATTTTCTGATATCCATGAATGTGTAGGGCGCTGCAATATATAGAATGGAACCTTTAAGTGGTTCTTTTAGGATGAGAGTGAGTATAAATGTCTTTGGTCAAAAAATTATTATTAAGATGTAGATATTTATAATAAAAATAATCATATGTCGATTGTTTTTGTCTTTATCAAGGATACGTTTTATTACATACTTTATCATGAATATCAAAGTTACGCGCATTTCTAAAAAAATTTACTTCTCTTTCCTGTTAAAAAATTATTTTCCTATCCTTTTCTTTAATATAAATGTCTATTGAGAACATTCTTTCGTTCTGTTTATTCTTTAGTTGTTTAACCCGTACGAGTACAGGGTTTACTCTTTCGATTTCATATGTATACGCTTTTAAATGTTTCTTTCAATTCCCTGTGTTTTTAGCGCGCCTATAGTATCGAAAATTACAATAAAGATATAAAATCTGTTGCCATTTCGAGCCTTTCATTTTTTTTTCTTTTTCCAAGTTCGATATCACTTGTCTTCGTTGTCATTTTCTTGACGAATCGGATATCATTATTTCTTTAAAAGATTTTTTTTCTTTTTGTATAAGAAATCAAACAGCAAAAACAAACATCTGAAAGTGTATGAATTATTCATTCTTTATTAATTTGATATCTGTTGTTTCTCTACTCTCAAGGTTGATTTGAATTCTCTTGGCCATGACAACCCTGTAACTGAAAAGAAGTACACATAAATATTTTTTTTTTCAAAATAACAGTTGTCAAGAAGATTATAACATTGAAGACAAAGTGATGCACATTAAAACTGCAACATTTTACATAATGTACTTGATGTGATATTCATTATTAATAGCTTATTAAATCCGTTTATAATTATATTGATCACATATATCAGATACAAGACGATATTCATATCGTTCGACAATTAACCAATTAACCGGACACTTACATTAATTTCTACGTATGATGAACTTATCTGAAAACACTTACTTAGTTCCATTTAAGGAAACAATCACAGTGGATTTTGACTGTCTTTTAAAACATTCATTAATTCTTTGATTTATTTTCCTTGGATACGGAATCCATTTTCCGTTTGAATCTCTCCACATCCACTGGTCACTTTGTAAAGCAGTGTCATTCAATCCGTCAACCTCTAAGTCTGACAGGGGATCAGGCACTCTGTCATTCTTAAAATAGTGTCCTTTGAGAGTCTTTAAATGAAATGAGGATGATAAAGTGTTTTCAAAGCTTGGTGTGTCCCAATTCTTCTCAATTTTTAGGAAACCTGAAAAATTATTTCAAAAAAAAAAAAAAAAATAGCTGAATAAGATGCAATTTATATCATTAAATTCATACTTATTAATCCTAAATTTGAATTTACTTTTTGTGGGGGTTGGAAGGTTATCGGAAACATCAGTTCGAATTTGTTCTTCATTCAATTGGATTCCATCCGATAATAAAGGGTCGCTGTGAAAATATTTAAAAAAAAAAAAAAACAAAATCAATCATTCAAGGTTTAATTAATTTAAGAACGATGCTTTCTGTACAGTAAATTCAACAGTGCAAGATACAAATGGCAAAATGTGCTGATTTCATGTACTGCAGCAGATACCAGTAGTTCATTTTTTAAAGAAAACTTCTAATTAGGTACCAGGTATATGTCATTACCATACAAAAATATCAAATTTCCCGTGCTGGCCAAATCTGTAGTCACATTTTTCGCCGTTTGACCATCGCACCTGTAACAGAACAAACAGAAAAAAAAAAATTCCTATTGTTTTCATCTTAATCTTTCCCTTACAAAATTTACTATAGTTAAGTATAGTTTACCATTTTTTAAGTAAAGTAATTACTTTGATACTCTGACTTACTATGAAACTTTACTCCAGAATTTTTTTTTTTTTTTTTTTTTTTTTTTTTTTTTTTTTTTTGAGATTGTGATTCTTAAAATCCCCTAAGTTCAATGCTAATGATGTAACGTTTGGAAATATATAAGAAATATTTCCATTTCATGTCAAAATATGTGCATGTATGAATTGGAAAACATAAAGTGTAACAATCTGAAATCATAGGAAAAAAAACTTTGATTTACTGCAGTTAATACTTTGATGCTGTAGTAAACTATAGTTAACTATCATAAAGTATATTTAACTCTAGTTTATTTTTGTTAGGGTTGGCTTTAATATGAGTAAAACGAACTTTTTTCCTTCTCGATGTAAAGGGGAACTCACATGAACCCTTCCCGTTTTTCTGACTCTGTAAACAGTTCCTACACTTCCTTCACCACCATCTTGATCTCCCCATTCCCAATCAGGACCTAAGAATGGAAATAATAACATTAAACCAAAAGAATCTCAATTTGATTTAAAACGTATCAGTAGGCAACGTACTGACACAGAGGATTTTTTAAAAATTTAAACCAATAATTTAAAGCTATATATGGCGTATCTGAGCTAAAAAATAAAATCATGATATGGAGTGTAGATAAACATGACATATGTCATTTACATTCAGCTTAAAACTTTCACCGATTTTGAACTTGAATAACCTCATGTTTCCATATTTAAATTGACTTTAAACTGTGTCTGTTATTAAAATGCGGAGTCGGTAAATAAATCGGTTATTGTTATAAATTTCTAATATCTTTGAAACGTGATTGATTTAAATTGTGTCTTTTACAGGAAAGTCCTATCGTTATATAAAGTAATAAAACAAATAGAAATATCCTTTTTATTTTAGTTAGTCTGAACTTATAAAAATACGCCATATATCACTTTAATATATATAATTTTTTCATAACTTTTACCTCTGGTGACTAAACAGCCAGGTGCAATAAGTTCAGTATCTAGAATTCTTGGTTCATTGCAGACAGAAACTTCATTTATATTCCTAGCAATATCGTGACAATAGTAGTTCTTTTCACCAGTATCCCACTCAACCATCAATCGACCTTCAAAAAAAAAACAAAAAAAAACCCATACACATACAAGCATATTTTGTAAAATAAATATGAAGAAACACCGAGTTACTGATTTCATTTCGATATTAATTATGAAGACCTTGGATTATCAATAATTTAAAAGAAGGTTTCATAAAGGGATTTGTTTGTGCCCTCCCGGTGATAAAATTTATGCCTCCTACCATCCAATGAATGTCCAATAACAGTGCCGGGACCATTGCTATCTTGGTCACCCCAGCGCCAATGTGGTCCCCTTTTAACTCTTGTGCCAAGACATGGTAGCAGAGGGTTTCTCTCGTGATAATAACCATCTTCATTATCATCTTCATATTCAGCAAAGATCTCGAAAATTGAGACGTAAGCAGATCTTTTCGTGCAAATATCCAATATATCGTCCTGTATGCCATAAATTATTTGATTGCATTAATTTGCAAATAGAATTTAAATAAAGATAAAAACATTCAAGATATGTTTTCTGTATTCTATTCAAAGTTATTTTAAGAAACTTAATCAATTCGGCATACACAGTGATATGAAGAATCGTTTTTACTGTGATACTTTATTTCGATTGGATAAGAATAAGAACTATCACTGATATTAATTTTATGTTGTCCTTGATGATTGTATTTGCGTCACCTTATCCAGCTCCGATAAAATCATATCAGGTGAAGCGGAAGCCAGAAGAGTGAGCACAGTTTCCCTATCCTCATCTCCATTCTTCATTGACGTCGATATTAATGCCGCGGTTCTCTAGAAATCAATTTTCAACTTGATAAAAGTAAAAAAAAAAATTTATACTCACTGAATTTTGTTTTTTTTTTTTTCTCATGAAAACCTGTTGACGTTAACAATAATCTAGTTAAAACCAGATTTTAAAGCTTTTTATTTGAAGATTCTTTAAGAAGGATGTTCGTCCGTCAATGTAACATACGGGCCAATAATACAATATTTAACGAACTCTCAATCATTTTATGGGAATACTTTATATAGATATAAAATGATCAATAAGATGTCTTTCTGCATTTGTTAATACTGGTGTTTGACTCTTGCAGTCATCGCATAAAACAATACATTTACGCGAGGAATGTATATTACTGCAATGTCGCAACCATTATCCCTGCATTATTCTTGTTTGAATTATTTCCCCTATACTGTAATGCAGATAACCAATTACTTTAGTGACTTGTATCTTTAAAGAGTTTAATTTAAAAAATGTGTTTAACATAGAAAAAAGATTACCATATTCTTTGTGTATTTTCCAAGTTGTCTAGCTTCATGGGGATAGACTACTTTGCCTCCTCTTGAACAAGCAGAAATAAACTCTAAAAATGACTATAACAATGCTTGAAATGAGTAATACATGAAATTCCATTCCTGTTTGTAATCAGTAGCAATTTTTCAATAGAAGTATTTCATAGTGTAAAAATATTTATCACGTTTACTCCTTTATACCGAAAATATCGGTTATATGATATTGTTTTCAAGTCACAAGGTTGTGACGTCACAATGTAATTTGCAAAAAAGTGATGAAGTCAAAAAAAGTGGACTCATGTCTAAAAGCATTAAAAAATGTGATACATAAAAAGTATGTATGAAACATGTGATAGAAAAATGTCCATGGTACGAGGTTAGAGATGATTTTTTTAAATCTAACTCTTAATCGCCAAGCCCGGGGATAAGATTACACAATTCCTTGAATAAAAAAGATGATCTGTCAATAAACCAGGGGAGATCGATTACGCATTTTAAGAGGGGGTAAAATTGAACGTCAAAGTAATAAATAGAGATACTTGACTACCTTCTACAAATTTTCTTTTTATCAACTTAAATATACAACTCCTACTGAAATTGCAAACTATCATTTTTGTGCAATCTAATGTACATCACCTTTGAAGGTTCTCATGTTTTAATTATTACAAGGGTTGTTCGGTATGTAATGTGCATCGTCCGATATCTCAAAAACATTAGACTCAAATAGTGAAATGAACATTACATATCTTCAAAATATTCTCACTTTGAAATACATAATTTCAATCTCTGAATCCATTTCTGAAATGCCTCACAGTACGCTGATTTAGGTAAACCTCTGAGGCTTTGACTGATGGCTGAGCCAAGGGCTTGTGAGGACCTGTCACGATAACCAGATACGAACTTTTTAAGTTTTTGGAAAAAGGCAAAATTCGAACGGGGCAAGATATGGAGAGTATGATGGGTGTGACAAGACAGTAACCTTCTCCGATTTCAAAAATTGCTTCACAAGCTCAGATGTATGCAATGGAGCATTATCATGACGTAAATGAACATGAATAAATCCTGACACAGGGTGTCGTTTATTATAATATTTCTTGGTCTTTTTTAGTATAACATCTTGGTTAAACCGACCTGTAACAGTTTTGTCCTTCGAAATAGTGAGCCTATATTTCGTCACCAGTAACAATGTTTACAAATTGTCTTTGATATAATTTGGGAAACATTTTGATCAATTGCTTAGCGGTTTGAACTTGTATCCGTTTTTGGTCATCTGTCAATTAATGCGGTATCCATCCAGCAGAAATCTTTCGTACTTTCAAAATAGGCTTCAAAATGAACTGCACCCGCGATAGCAATATGCCACCAACTTTGGCAATATCACGAATCATGTATTTGACATACTTTCAATTATTTACCTGACTTTTGAGACATTTGCCTTGTCTTGCCTGTTACAATTACAGGTCGGCCAGATTCTGCTGCATCTTTGACGTCGAATTCTGTGCCAGTCAGAAATTTCTACCTACGAACCGTTTCATAAGATACCTTATCAGACTCATAAACTTCCCCCGTTCAGTAAAAATCTGCATTACCGATTGACCGATTTTTGCGATCTTTTATATAAGCTCTAATTTCTTCAATATTCTCAACCCGTTTACCAAGCATTTTTACAATAGTGGTCAACGACTGGCTCTATTGAAATGATTATAAGTTTTAAATTATGTGGAGCTGAAGCTCGTGTTTGGAAATGTATTGAATAAAGCTATTCAAGAGTATTATCATTAACGTTATCGCGCTGTGGTACAATGCACATTACATACAGAACAGCCCTCGTATATCAATACCGCATATTAAAAGTAAAATTATAAATAATCACCAAATCTGGTTTATTTCCAACAGGTACACAAAATACTGGATGAACTCTTCCGATGTCTTTGATAAGCTGGTGCAAATTACCTTTCTCCTACGAAATTCAATGTTTTTTTAATGAAGCTTAGAATTTTTCAGCAGAAAATAATTTAAATAATATTTTTCACAAAATGTACATTGTACCTCATCTCGTTCGTAGATAATGGAGTCATCTTCATCACACATACGTGTAAAATCTGTGGGTTTTCCGTCCGAAAATAAAATAACTCTTGGGCGTACGTGAAAATTGCCAATTCTTGCTGTATGACCTGAAAGAATTTTTTTCAGGAAGTCACATGTGTATTAACATCAATTCATAGATTAATAAATTCTTCTTTCAGAAAAAAAAAATTAAAAAAAAAAAAAAAAAAAAAAAAAAAAAACAGCCCTGCTATCCCAAAGAATACCAGTTTTTGCGCACTAGAACAAACATTTTATGCAACAAAAATATGTGTTCTTCTCAGTATTCTCAGTACTTTGATTATCGTAAGAACTAAAGATGGTAAATAAACAAAATCTACCTGCACCATTTTTAGTAGCCCCAAACGACAGAAAAAATGCAGCGACAAGAGGGGATAATCCTCCAAATTCTAATTCATCTAAAATTATCAATATACTTAATTGCAAGTCATGCCATGAAAAATTAATAAGGCCATCTTTAAAATAACGTTTGTTTGCCCTCTCCAAACTCAGGATGAAAAATTGGGTCGGTAGGTAGGTGAGAAAATTTTTATTATAAAAAAAATTCCAATGCTAAATTCTTAAAATCTATTGTCCAGAATACATTAAAATCCTGCTTCCAGGAGGTAAAATAAAGTTTTGAGTAGGTCGGGAGAGGGCAACCAAACATTTTTTTTTAAAGATGGCCTAGAATCAAGATTTCTATGTTTGATAAACCTATTCGAGAATGCTCATTTACAACGAAAACTGTAAAAATATTACGGACAACAACCGAATACAGATATACCAATCTGTTAACCGCAAGACGTTTCTACCGATTAACCTGTTAATCGTTTAAAGATTTTTTGACTTTTTTTTTTCCATCTAATCCCTATTCATGTTCACGAGATTAAATAAGAGGTTTTCAATATTTGCTTTATGCTTTATCAGAATACTATATATATTTTTTCCTTTAAAATTGCAAGAGGGAAAGGAATGAAAGAAGAGAATGATTTTTTAGCTCACCTCGACGAAGTCGAGATGAGCTTATGCTATACCCCCGGCGTTGGCGTTGGCGTTAGCGTCGGCGTCCCAGGTTGAAGTTTTAGGAGCAAGTCCATTCCCAAGTAACTACGAGCCCTACATGGACCAAACTTGCATGGATGATGCATCTAGGGATGGACACTACCACACTTGCTTCGGATGCTGGATCTGTACTAGATTTTCCAGATGAGTGACCAGGTTAAAGTTTTAGGAGCAAGTCCATTCCCAAATAACTATAATCCCTACCTGGACCAAACTTGCATGGATGATGCATCTAGGGATGGACACTACCACACTTGCTTCGGATGCTGGATCTGACCTAGATTTTCCAGATGAGTGACCAGGTTAAAGTTTTTGGAGCAAGTCCATTCCCAAGTTACTATAATCCCTACCTGGACCAAACTTGCATGGATGATGCAACTAGGGATGGACACTTCCACACTTGCCTCGGATGCTGGATCTGACCTAGATTTGGAGTAGGTCTATTCCCAAGTAACTATAAGCCCTACCTGGACCAAACTTGCATGGATGATGCATCTAGGCATGGACACTACCACACTTGCTTCGGATGCTGGATCTGACTTAGATTTTCCAGATGCGTGACCAGGTTAAAGTTTTTGGAGCAGATCCATTCCCATGTAACTATAAGCCCTATCTGGACCAAACTTGCATGGATAATGTATCTAGGGATGGACACTAACACACTTGCTTCGGATGCTGGATCTGACCTAGAATTTCTAGATAAGGGACCAGGTTAAAGTTTTTGAGCAGGTCCATTCCCAAGTAACTATAAGCCCTACCTGAACCAAACTTGCATGGATGATGCAACTAGGGATGGACACTTCCACAATTGCTTCGGATGCTGAATCTGACCTAGATTTTCCAGATGAGTGAATTTTAGCCATATTTTAATCAAATTAGCATGGATGATGTATCTTAGGATGGACACTTTCAGACTTGCTTTGGATTCTGAATCTGACCTACATTTTCCAGATGAGTGACCAGAGTAATGTTTTTGGAGTAGCTATATAATATTATGGCATGTATGATTAAACTTGCATGGATGGTGCATCTAAGAATGAAAACTTCCAGACTTGCTTTGGATGTTGGAACTGACCAAATTTTCTTGATTAGTAAACAGGTTAAAAGTTTTTTGAGCAGGTCTATTTCCAAGTATCTATAAGTCCTTCTTAAACCAAACTTGTATGGATATTGATCTTGGGATGAACACTAACTAGAAAAAATATGATGTGAGATTTGCCTTACTTATAGATAACCTTCGTCGAGGTGAGCTTCGTAATCTTTGATTACCTATGTTTCTAAAATATCATAGAAATTATGTATGGGTTAATGTCCGAGTACCTCTCCATTCTTTAAAACTAATATATTTTAAGGCCCCGAAGGGACGGAGACTCATTACTTTTAAGGAATAGAGAGGTATGCGGATATTGACCCACTTTTAAAATCCACAAGTGACGTCATTCTATTGAAATCACCTCCATTATTTTTCAGGAATGAAGACTTTTCTTATAATGAAGAATTTCTAAAAGGTTTCCCAAAATGTATAAACTGAAATCAAACAAATCATTTGCAGTACATATTTACGGTACACATGTAACATATCTGTCCATCAGCTTTAGAGCACTTTGGACTGTTCTTGTTTTCTTCTTTATATCCTCGAATGACTTCAATCAAAGCACATTTTGGACAGAAGTTGTCCTTTTGTAGCCCAAAACTGCATTTGACCTATGACCAGTTACTTTTGAAATTAACTGCTCATCAATACATTCATGATAAAAGCGTGTAGCGGCAGATGCTCTCAAAGAGTAGTTAGTGCAGAACCCACGCAGATCTCCATCTTTACTCAAAGTCGAGACAATTCCAGCAAGTTTGTATCTTCCAATTGCTTCAGCAGCATACCACATACACGTTTCTTCCGTATATTTTTCACGTGGATATAAATATAAAGCATCACATTTTTCTGTAGGCGGACACTTGCTGATGTATTTTTCACTTGACTGCATGGGCTTGGAAGTTTTGAATTTTCATAATTTAAGCTTGTACTAATTTTAAGTTTAAAAACAAAATTAAAAAACAAAAAGAAAGCGTCCGCCTAAAAAGGAATGTGATCGTTTATATTTATACACATTTGAAAAATATACGAGATATATGTATGTGATATGCTGCTCAATCAGTTGGAAGACACAAACATGCTGGTCTTAGCTTTGTGTAAAGATGGAGGTCTGCATGGGTTCTGTACTAACCATTGATTTCCTTGTGAGCATCTGCCGCTACACGCTTGTATCATGAATGTATTGATTAGGGCTGAGACGATATATCGAGATATCGATAATATCGATTCTGTGTGAGGACGATACGCATATCGATACATATGAAGAAATATCGAAATATCGCAAAAAAAATTCTGACCTATGTTTTTCTTTATTTACGTAACATTTTGGGTTTAATATATAAAATAAAAATGCTAAATATAAATATTAATATGAGATACGTAATAATTAACACCACTTGTGTAAAACAATTTAGTTTAACAACAGATAAACAAGTAAAACAACTTCTTTGAATAAATCATTCTTATTTGTGATGAAACATTTTGTTCATTTCAATACAAAATAAAAATTTTATAACCAATTAAACATATCGTGATACATATCGTATCCTGGCTCAAATATCGTGATACGTATCGATATAGAAAAAGTTGTATCGTCCCAGCCCTAGTATTGATGAGCAGTTAATTTCAAAAGTTATTGTTTATAGGTCAAATGCAGTTCGGGGCTACAAAAGGACAACTTCTGTCCAAAAACGTGCGTTGAGTGAAGTCATTCAAGGTAATAAAGAAGAAAACAAAAATAGTCCAAAGTGCTCTAAAGCTGATGAACAGATACATGTTCATGCTGTGACCAAGTCAGAACTTACTCTGGACTATCGCTTTATTTATAGTTTGTTTAATACATGTAACATCATTTGAAATATCACTGGAATTGGTAGACGGGGAAAGATACACATTATAATCAGTTCACAGTACTCTTCGGTGATTTAATTTTTATCACATTAAAGATATACAGGACGGGTTTTACCATGAAATGCTGTATAAACAGTACAATAATTGTTGAAATCAACATTTCTTACGCAACCTGACCAAGTATCCCAGAGAACACTAATTAAATAGAAGTGTGAATTCGCTAACTTATCAATGTTTAGTCTAGGTTTTTTTTTAAATTTACTTTCAAGGAAATTTCGTTCAAATTTTACCGTATTTTAATTTTTTCGACTAACCGATTAAGCTTTACTAGCCTATTATCATTATTCGGACCGAGTTACCAGTTTACCGGTTACATGTCATCCTTTAAAATATATTGATTAACATATTAATTCATTTGTTCAAAAATATCCAATGGACATTGTTATCCAAAGAAGTGTGTTTAAGAAAAAAAAAGAACAATAGCAAAAAGAAGAAAATTAAAAACTATCAATGAATCATGTAATTAAAGATTTATTTATTTTGTTTATACATACCTAAAGAACGTTTTATGTCCATGTATCTATTAGAATAATAATAGTGATATCTTGTGTTTCGTCCACAGGCGATAACAGCCACGTTTTCGTCAATATCGGGATGGTTCGCGTATTCTGAAACACAACAAATAAATGAATTATGAAATTCAATCCTTTCAAAATATAACTACAGTCGTTTAACCGACACACATGTATTTTGCGCTAAGAAATAAAGTTTTTTCATACCATCAAGGATTAGACTAAATGTGCTCTTCATTTGTCTGAATCCTTCCTCTCCAATGCTTGAAGAGGTATCAAGGATGAAGATATTACATGGTCCCCTGCCTTGCTGATATCGTGACTCACAATCTTAAATAGTATTGCATTTTTTTGAATAGTTATTACTCAAAAGACTTCGCTATGTAAAAAATAATATAAAAATTTGCTGTATATTACATGGATCTTTGCAATCCCTTCATTTGTTCAGTTGTAAAATTAATCAAAGACAGAGAATTTCAAAGATAAGTCTGCTGACATTTTGCTATTTCTCTGTGTTTTTATCTTGTACTTTCTTCAGCAACAAATCATTTAGCAGGTAAGACTGAGCAATGACTATCAATAAAAAGGAAGAATTTTTGAACATGGTATACTTTTGATATAGATATAAAGTTAGATTGGGATATGCATTTTAGGATATCTTAGCTTATACCCTGTATGAAAGAATCATTGATTGATAAAAATCACATATTTAATGATACGTTGAATAGAGAAACTATCATATATTATATATGTTGCAGTTAAACTGCATTACTGATGTTCAGTGTTTATTGATCAATCCAAAACAAGAATTACAGGCAGTTAAAATTCAGTTCAATACTGGAAATTTCAAAGTCAAGAAACTCTTCATTTACTCTTGAAAAAGTACCATATGCAATCTGGAGTTTATATATTAAGGACTTGATGGGTTAACTGAGCAATCCCTCCCCCTACCCTCCAAAAACAAAACAAAAAAAATAGAAAAACAAACAAAGCAAAAGCAAAAAAAAAAAAAAAAAAGAATAACAAACAAGCCACAAAACCCAAATGACATTTGAAAAAAAGAAAATGAGAACTGGGTTGGGTGATATGTTTATGTTCTGACAAACGTCTATTAGCATAGATGTAGCTTTTTGTTGTATTAAGTGTACACATATCTCGATTAAGTACTATTAATTACAAAAGCTATGTATGTAGTTGATAGACTGAAAATCAAAATTAAGCTTTTAAACATCGTTAGATACAAAAAGGATATATGTATTTTTAACTCACTTTTCTGAGCATCGACAGTTGCTTGTGCAAGCCATATTTCCTGTGCTTTTTTGAATCCCAACTCCATTCAAGAAGTCCCTGCAAAAAAGGTATATAAATAAATTAATTTTCAATTCATTTTTAGCATACCATAATACTATGACTAATCTATTTGCCTATGCATGTATTTCATACAAGACGACCAAACGATTACTGCTTATTATGAAATACAGCACTGGTAGATGTAATATAAGGAAAATAGATCAAGTTTTCTCTGCATAGTTTACCCGTTTTATCCTTAAGTCATCTAAACCGCGATTAAAATTTTATAGAAGAAAAAATATCGTTTAACTATTTTTCAACCATGTTCTTCCTTATTTTTAATTTCCTCCTATCTGTCTCATGCTGGTTATGTGAGTGTAGTTATTTACAGGATATTGCTAATTATGTTTCATAAACACTCCTCCCATGAACACAAATTCTCAAAAAATCATTAAAACAGCTAAGGTCACGTTATGCATAAAATGGCCGGTTTAAGATCGGTAACACAAATGTTACTTTACAAAAAAAAAATATTTTGGTTGACTGTTAAAGTTTCAACATAATGCCTTATGTAAATTAAAAAATAAAATAAAATTGAGACCATGATGTTCTCCTTTAATGACATTCGTAGAATCAGAATCGATAACGGTAATGTAGGAAGGACCGTTGTGCAGAATCTTTACTATATTGCAGAAATCCTCCATTTGCGAGTATATAGCAATTTATCCTGGGTGATTCTTTGCTATGGGGGAAAATGTGACCCTACAACACTGTTAACTGCATTATTGAATTGTTCACCTGTAACAAGAAGTTACCGCACGAGCCCTTCAAATGATAAATTGTCGCCATGTTATGCATATTAAAAATATATCACCATAGTCAGTATATGCGGTCTTTTCGCCTATTCCTTAACAAGCTAAGGCGGGTTTTATATTTTTTGATATCAAGAACTTAAGTTTGTATTTGCACATGTTCAGAAAGTGTTAAACAGCCGCAATGTTTGGCATGCTATAACAGCTGTTACGTATACTTGCAATTTATGATGTGGTGACGCTTCCGTGTGAAAATTTTAATTTGTATGTCCTAGAAAAAGCATAAAATTGCAATTATATCTTTTCACATGCTTATTATATATATTATATAACTGGACATATCAGAATGCCCAGAATTTGTGGACGTGTTTTCACATGCTCAACAGACATTGTCACTTATTGCTTGCCCGGAAAATGCCTGAGCATACTCAGTGCTTAGCGTCACTCAATATATCCATGGAGTAATAAGTTGAAAATAGATTGAACGAGGATATTTTGAATTTAATATAACTAACTGTGGCCTTTGTAATTTTGAAAAATGTTCATTTTCCCTCCATAAATATTATTACACTGTAGATGAAATTTGAACCTCAATGTTGTTGCTTCTTTCGATGATGATGACCAGTAATGTTCTAGAAGAATAATTTTAGTTTGAAATATATGCCAGTGTTGTTGAACCTTAGTGTTGACTATATTGTATACTGGAATGCTTGCTCATTTGAAAAATGGTCCTTCTGTTCTAGATAGATATACTATATGTTGAGAAAAAAATCTTTAAAATACTTTTTGCAAGAACAGTTTTCAAGGTAGATCGATTAATTTGATAGCATCCCAATGTTGTGAAGATTCAATGGCCTCTATGGCTAGTGTTTGTGTCACTGAGAAATTCTTCTACATAAAAAAGAAGACCCTTGCTGTGGCTTTCACATTCAATATTTTCATATCCAATGTATATAAATTAACAAATAAGATTACTTGATTTCAAACAAAGAGTCTGTATTAATTTTTGGACACCTTACTACATACGAATTGGGATACTCAATATGAGGATGCCCCTGCAGAATTTAATTTAGCAAGCAGCAACAATTTTTTTCTGCCTTGAAAATTTTTCAATCAAAAATGCTGTCAATATTAGTGAAATGTCTCCGTTAAAAAAGCAAAAGAAGAGAAAAGCGCTGACTGGTTTGCCAGCAAGAGCGATGGGGACTAAAACTCGGCGTACAAGAATCCTCGCGGTACTGACACAGTCCCCTAAGGAGATTCCACTACCTAATTGCAAGGTTCTTCCTGTTGATGTATACACAACGTTTGGCCCCTTGGTGGACCAGATTTTACGAGATGCACCAGAGACTGGTGGATCACACCACCAGCACACTACATTTGTAATGTTGAGAGAAGGAAGCATCAAGACTGTTTTATAGATCCTTGGATCATAATACTCGCCAGGTTTATAACACTGCACTTACAAAGTTCAAAAAATCTTTCATCTATGCTTTGGCACCAACATGACCTGTTTTTTAATTCGTGACCATCATGATCAGCTGTTACAATTCATTGCTTACATTTCAAAATAACCTCACACACAGGACCATATTTTTAGTGCAATATCTTAGTAAACTATTATAAAATTCATGAGCTTCAAGACAAAACATTTCATTTTTACAAAATCCGTCTCAGGTGTGCGGAGTTTAGTGGGTATAAATAAAGACATTCGACTCACTATACCATTCCAGCTGTTTGTGAAAATTACAGAAGACACTTACATCAGTATATCGCTCACCATTTCTAGCCTTGTGCACTACAGACATACATCTCTCCAAATAAATTTGGTCATTTTTTTTCTTAGAAATAAACTGATCTAAAGCCGATCAAATGGGCAATTTTTTTTTAAATAAAAAAGTTGCTTGACATGCTATTCTGCCCAACATCAAAAATCGAGTTAACTTACATTCAATGCCCCTCAATACAGAATCATTGTTAGTTCAATGGCACAGTTTTGCACGTCTTTCTCATTCCTTCGAGTGGCAGGTCACTGTAGACCCATAAATCGAAGGTCTTTGTAATGCTTGGATCTGTAGCTTTAGTTTGTCTATCGAATTTTCTTAACCAGAGAGCCACAGTTATGCAGCTAAGGTCACTATATGTCTCACAGTGTCCGCACTAGCATGGCCACAGAATTGGCAGATCGGGTTATTCCAGATACAAGTATTCAGAAAATGGAGATACTGAGATCTAACTCCTTCTTTACCTCTCGTCCGCCCGCAATAGATCAAAAGACATATTAGCACGCGATATTGCATTCAACACACTTTAAAGAAACATTATAAGCAACTTATATTATCCCCCATATACAGAATAACCCTCAAGTAAGCTTGCCCTAGCATTTCAGATAAAATGCTGTATTAGGCCAAAAATATGGCAGGTAATTGTCCGGGAGGAACCAAGCCGAACCTCCAGGTACAAAATACCATTCAATGGAAAGTTATTCGAAGACTTGTGTGGGAGACGTTTGAAAAATCACTAACTCCAATGACCAAAAACCAGACAGTCCCGGAATTTCTCCTCATTCTTTTAGTTTGATAATTAATTAATTGAATTTAATTTTTGAAATCAATCATTAAAAACTCAAATTAAAAGGTTAATTAAACTGCATCATATAATACTATAAAATCACATATTTTAGTGGGATCATATTTTCTTGGTTGGAAGAAAAAATACGGTTTCCTGGGGATTTGATTCCGTGGATGAAGAATTGTTGAGTAGTAAATTCGTGGATCTCTTAATAGCTCAAAAACAACGAGAATTAAACCCTCACGAAAATTAGTGATTTTACAGCATATATTATGTAATATAAAATATATGCAATTTATTGTTTACAACGATATGTTTCTAATTCTAGTCCAGTTGACTTATGGATACCCGATGATTTGTGGAACGTTGACATCAAATAAAGATTAAAATATGTTCCTCCTTTGTATTTTTTAAAGAGACTCATGGACAACATGCATACCTAATGGGTGTATTGCTATGGCGTTTTTCTTATTAATATAGAATTCCAACCCTGTTTCCAGGGTAAATTTGAGAAGCCGGTACTAGAACCAAGCACAATAAGCTGCCGTATTAATTTTATAAACTTAAGCTGAAAATGTTGGAACTCTATACTTTCTGGTATTACTGATTTCACTATCAAGGTAATGAAATAGTAAGTTTAAAATCAAAATTTGCTCTCAAATTCATATAATTTGTCAAAAAGTAAAGATCTTAATCTTGTTATTTGCTTTCGTGATAAGGTCATAGACAACTGCCTTTAAAATTTTGACATGGATTGGCTTGCAGATCTTTTATAAACCGTTCTGATCATTTATCGTCCGAATCGCAGGGAAATAGATGTCAGATAGCTGGCCTTGAGGAAAATGAAGAAATTCATAATGTTCAAAACATGCACAGATTAATGGGTTAATTCTTAGATAACTGGCAGATTGTAGACCTGGCAGTTCCTAGTATCTAGCGTAGAATTTTCTGCTCAAATAATTACTTAGTCAGGTCCAGTGTGTAAAGTGTTACACGGAAATACAAAATAGTCTTTGTTAGAAACTTTGGGCGTTTTTAATTAAAAACAAAAACGTTTTGTTGTATCAACAGAAAGCAAACCATTGTTTGATTTTGAAGGTAATGAATTTATTTTTATTGAAAACTCATGTTATCAGACGTTTAAAAATGTTGATATTTAAAGTTTTCAAAATTTTCAAAACTAGATGAAATAGATAGATACTTGCTTCCTTTCGATCCTGCTGGAATCCACTCTAAAATATTTGTGTTTCCAAACGATTTAATTATATTCAAAGTATTTTGATATTACAATGTACATTTAAAATTAGTAGGAAAGAGTACAGATAAACGAAATCTTAATGATAATATTAAAGTATACATCAGCGGTAAATCAGGAGAGCAAATTGCAATACATATTCCAGAGTAACATTTTGAAAGTTGATAATTTAATCATTGTTGTATACTTAATGAAAGGGAATATGGAATTAGGAAGAATATGCATGGTTTTATAAATGTGACAGATGTGATTCAATTGTCTTTCTTCTATAGATTGATGTAAACATGAAGAAGTGACTTTATGATTGTCCAAGTTTGTCAAACTTAATCTCCTTTTAAATTATACATTTACTTATCTATTTTCTGAACAAGAGGCACTTGTAGATTGCTTATTTTACTGGAGTACTTAATATCCCGAAATGATTAGCAGACGTCAATTCACGAGAACTTGAATTCCCTATTGGATTGCTTATTATGTGTTTTTACATGTTTTACAGCAATATAAAAATAAAACTGTCAAATGTTATTTTGCGGATGATGAAATAAGGCGATAACAAATTCCTCGCGTAATTTTAGAAATCTACAATAAGTGAACCCCCCCCCCCACACACACACACACACACGGGTAGACATTACTAGTCCAGAAAATCCTTATCAAAATTAATATCAAGTTTTGTTTCTCCTGGAACCTGGAAGGAAGTTAGTATTCAGGCATATTTATTGATTGTTTTATCGTAAACATTATATATCATCATCAAAGAGGCATTTTACAATCTCATAGCTTAAAAGAGGAAGAAACTCTTATTCACCTTCCATAAGTGTGCAAAAGAAACTTTGACCAGAGTTTAAATTGGATGGAAAGAGGAAACAAAATAAATCATTTAATCTGATAAATAAATATTCTTATCAGACAAATAATTATGGAAATTCCTACTAAGAGAAATGAAAGATTAGAAAAATATCATAGATGGTATGAGAATAATCAAAACACCATTTCAAATGAGAGATTTTGGACAAGACATGCAGGTTTGTTTTCATAAACCTAAGATTTTCTTAGTTGATACTACTTATGAAAAAGAAGTCAAACATTTGCTTTTCTTTTTTTTTCAGAGTTTAATGCTGATTTTAATCTGCAATTTTGCATTTCTCTATGGTCACGATAAACAGTTTAACTGCTCGACAGAAAGAAACTGTCTCTGCATTAGGCGGGGGAAAATCGTGTTAGCTGATTGCAGTAGATTAAATTTGAAAAGATCACCAAACTTTACAAACGATGTTACACGTATAGACCTTGGATACAATCTCTTGGAGGATATACCTTCTAATTTGCCTTTTCGCTTGACACATTTAAATGTTACAAAAAATCTGCCATTGAAAAGAATTCGAAAGGATACATTGAGGGAAAATTTGCATCTTCAGCATCTTGTTCTGTCTTACTGCAATCTTAAAGAAATCGAAAGGGGGACATTTGAGCAAAATGGTCAACTCGAACACCTGGATTTATCGAACAATCCGGAACTTACACTCTCTGTAATGACAAACATTACGTTTGATTTGCAGAATTCCAAAATCAAAACTCTTCTGTTAGATAAGCTTCATTGTACCTATGGTGTGACTAACATTTTTCGCTATGAGTACACAAAGTATCTTTCAAAAACAAATCTGAAAACACTATCTTTGGCGTCCAACAGAATATCTTTCTTTGAAAACCAAATTTTTAAACATTTGCCGGACTCTCTAGAAGTTTTGAATGTTGGAGATAACACTTTAAGTTTTGGGATATATCTATTTTTATTACATGAATTAAAAGGTTTAAAAATTCTTAACGCAAGTTTTCAAGACTCATTTCATTTGCAAGATACCATAATGTACAATTGCAATGATTCTGGGTATAGACAGCAATGCCTCAACATCGATCATGAAATAAATACAACAGTGTCATATGGTAACCTTTGGAACGTGGAAAATTCGCATCACAGTACTTCTAGTGGCGCTTATATTATTGTGTATTTGCCACCAAACATAGAAAAAATATATTTTCATGATAATATGTTTAAAATGGAATTGCACAGATACGATTTCAATGTAACTAACAGAAAACTTACTCACCTATTTCTTCAAAACAACATTTTCTACAAATTTATTGGTCCCCTAAAAGGTCTTCAAAGTGTCCAATATCTAGATCTATCGAACAATTTATGTACAGATATTTCGCCAACATTCTTCGTAGAACTAAACGGAATCTTATACCTCAATGTATCGCAAAATTTGTTAGGTAGCTCACTTCAGAATGATTACAATGGTGATATTTTTCAAAATTTAACTGCTTTGAAAGTTTTGGATTTGTCCGAAAACAGACTGAGAAATCTGCCAAGAAAGATCTTCAGAAATATGTGTTGCTTATCTGTATTGTATCTTAACAATAACGCATTGGAAACATTTATTGTTGAACTATCTCACATGAATAATCTTTCAAAAGTGGATCTGTCGAACAATCAAATTTCCACGATAGGTGCCAGTGTGAGGAGTATTGTAAGTAAAATGGTTGGAAAAAATAGACATTTTGAATTCAATTTGCTACAGAACCCAATCCACTGTACTTGCGAAAATTTGGATTTTCTAGAGTGGATGTTAAAGTCAAAAGTTATTTTCCCCAAATTATCAGAGTATAAATGCGTTTTTGCAAATGCTTCGGACACTACTCTGCAGGACTTAGCAAAAACGGTAAAAAATATGAGAGTCACTTGTGATACATATCTAACGCTTATTGTCATTACGACTCTTGTATTATTCACTGTACTAACTATCATAACAACTGCTATTTTAAACCGGTACCGATGGAGACTTCGGTATCTATTCTATCTTGCTAAAAGACGCTACACGGAGGTCCAGTATGTGTCCAAGGAAGCTGATAAATTATTCAGATATGATGCTTTTATTTCATATGCCGAAGAGGATAAAAAATTCATTTTTTCAAAACTAGACTATCTCGAAAAAGAAAAACATCTTAGACTTTGTTTGCATAGTAGAGACTTTATTCCAGGAACCGACATTGCTGATAATATCGCAAACGCGATACATAACAGCCGACGAACAATGTGTGTTCTAACGTGTGATTTTCTGAAATCCTACTGGTGTATGTATGAACTGAACATGGCAAGAATGGAGTCTATATATTCAAGAGACGGAGAAAGTGTCATTTTAATTATCATACTAAAGAAGAATGTCGTCAAAAGTGCACCATTGAAAATTATTGATTTGTTTGAAAGTCAGTCCTACTTAGAATATCCCGAAAATGAATCAGAAGTTACAGCTTTCTGGACTAAAATCTGCGATACATTATACTCCACGTCTGTTCGTCGATAAGATCAGAGATGCTATTAATATGCAAACCGTCTCATGCATATTAATTTGCATTATATATATATATATATATATATATATATATATATATATATATATATATATAGATATAGATATATATATATATATATATATATATATATGATGTCTTGAATTCCACAGAATTTGTTTCTTTAATGAATGTTGTAAGAGATATGGCATCAGATCATTTGAAAGTTGGTCTTTTTAAGATATTGACAACATTAGTAAATATACGTACATGTATATACGTAAGCGTAAAGGTTGGTAGCACTTAAACACTGTTGGTATACTGTAAGCACAGTGTATTTGTATAAAATTGTAAAAAGCTCATTTGAAACTAAATTGCTTTGAATTCATATCTCACGGATTTTTAATTTTTATGAGTAGTATTTTGACTTGTTTAATTTATTTTTTTTTTCAATCATTGAATCAATTTTGAAATAGATATGTAAATTATTCACAGTATATGTTTTTCCTTTGAAGTTACGTAAACTGTAGAACAGAAATTCTGATGCCTCAACTCAAAGTAAGGACACGATGACTTTATAATGTATGTTGTTACATTATCTTATTTTTTTCATTTTATTGCTATCTTTTTTTATGGAGTTCATATTCATTATTTATTTATCTATTGATAGTGGTATAGATAGGTCGGAAGCAGCAATGTTCAATCTTTATTACCTTTTGTTTATTCTAAATATTCTACGATTATGTAGCTTACATAATTTTTGACAGCACAATTGTCAAAACCACTGAATTTCTTCCTGGAAAACATCGATTGCTAGAACACTTTTCATGATCTGATTAATGCCCCTTTTCTAGTGTGTGTTTTCATTTGAATGTTAACAGCTATCAGTGTGTGTTTTCAATTCTAAACAGCTATCAGAACACTTTCTCCAAAGACAGAGATTGAAAGTATTATATTCAACAACGTTTTCTTAAAATACATTCATTTGATATACAATATCTTATCAATTTATGAGTTTACTTAACAATGCTCTATATCAATTTTCATTATCTAAAGTCATGATGAAATTTATACATCATTTCACAAAATCATAAAATATTGTTTAAGGAATTTGTATTTCCCAATACTCTTTCTAAAGATTAAATATTTGCTTTATGTAATTGATTTGCCGTTTTGAAAATCTTTCCTAATAAAGTAGATAAAAAATGGATGGAAGCAAAATTTATCCCTTTTCCATCAACGTATCTCAATTTATTCAACTACAGGCATATTTTCTATGATAATGGAAATTAGAAATACTCCACAAAGAAGAAGTTTGATTAAGATTTTAAAACACTAGTCAAAATATTTTGATCGGACGTATTATTTCCAAATTATGCTGTTGGTAAATATACACATTGCTTAACAGAAAATGCATCAGATTAGTTCATATGTTTGCAAATTACAATAATAGTTCAGTCAATTTAGCGAAAATATAGACCAAATGTCAAACTAATAGCAGCAATTAGTTGTGAAATGAAACTTGAAAAAAAATGCAGTAGAATCTGAGAAAACCTAATGAGCGGAAAGCATAGTTTTGGTTTGATTTAATTACCTATGGGAATTACTTTTGAAAAGGGACATATCTCTGTAAATCCATTTATTATTTTGCTTACATTATATTAAAAATCATGTTTTACATGAGAGCGTAATCTGATTTAAACCTATTTGATACTGTTCAATAAATTGGATGTCATTATTTCATATAAATAACATGAAATGGATGTTTTGAATTTTTGCTAATTTGAAAACGGCCCTTTTAAAATGAAAATGAATTCATAGTTTATAAAAAAAAAAAAAGAAAAAAAAAAAAAGAAAATGAGTTTCCCTTAGAATAAGATAAAGTAATTTGTATTTAAATCATTTAATATATAAAAACGAAATGTAATGTGAAAAAAAAATCCATAGAAAAAAGATAAATAGACAATGTATGACCTATGTCTTAATATCACTCTATCCTAAAGTTTTATCATAATAAAGCAAGGAAAATCCGGCTGACCACGATTGACTAAATAAACACATCCCAAATTCATTTGTTTTCCTCACAGGTGCTTGTGGACAGGACCCCCCCCCCCCCCGAATATACACACTGGGTCCAAGGATTTTTTTATTCGCCTTTTTCCAAAAATTTATCTTCTAGTGCATGTACACATTTACAATGAATTCCATATGAAAAATCCCCCAAAAATAACATAGAATTAACGTTTTATTTAAAAAAAAAAATCATACAGGCGGTATTATGAAATAGAAAAGGTAAGTCACTTCCATTTGTTAACACTGGACTCTTCCTGGATATCGGGCTTAAAATGTCATATACCTACCCCATGTCACCAAAATATGTCATGATATCTTGTTTCGGTAGATATTTTTGACTTTAATCGATAGTTTTTTTTTCGGTACATTTTCGTATTTGATGACTGCTAAGAGAACAATATGTCTGAGGTTTCAAGGAATAATGTGCCGATAAATCAAGGACTATATTTATCATTGAGTTCCAGATAATAACTGCTACCCAAATGCTTTTGATCTAAAATATATTCATCAAGTATGATATTTTACATTAATCGAATATAATTTATTGTAGCTTTAACATAAGATTGTAGTTTTTCCCTTCTTGGGTAAACAGTCTGGGAAACATAATCATTCATTCTTCACTAATTTTACATCGGTTGTTTCCTTTGTCGTCAAGTTAATCTGAATGCTCCTGGCTAAAAGCACCTTGTATCTGAAAAAAGAATGAGTTCTTTTTTAAACGAGATTTCCTAATGTTTTCCAACTTTAAAGGAAATCACTTGGTTGTTCTAATTGCCTGCAAACCAATTATTTTGAATAGAACCTTGATGAATTCAGATTAAATTTAATGTTTAAAATGATATTTTTTATTGACATTCATAAGAAATAGGGGTATAACACTAGTAGTGATCATGAATAATTATAATTAAAAAAAAAAAATTATTTATTATTTGTAAATATAAAGTTTATCTTACAAATGTTCTTTAAATGAGATCACAACGGTGGAATTAGGATTTCTTTTGAAACACTTCATGATTTTATTATTAATTTTCCTGGGATAATGATTCCATATTCCGTCTTGATCTTTCCATAACCAGTGATCACAATTATGGGACAATATTTCGTCATCGGGACAATCTATATCAATATCTAATTCATCCATCGAGTCATTCTTGAAATATCTGCCTTTTGGTGTTTTTAGTAACAGACCTTCACATTCTACGTCCAGGCATTCAACCTTTCTTCCTTTTTCTGTAACTGAATTATGTGCTTGAAATTCCAAATGGCAATAAAATTCTACAATTCCCGTATCGACACAAAATAAATGCAAGAATAAAATGAATTTAAATAGGCTTTAAGGGGCTTATACCTTCAGATGTAGCATTGCAATAAACGTATTGCAATGCATTTGAAAGTTTGGAGGCAGCACATCTCATCTGTTCTTGTAAATAACTCTTTGCCTCCGGTGAAAAAGGATCACTGAAAAAGAAATAAGAAATGCATGTGAGACTTGCAAAATACATTGCAGTATGCTTAAAGGAGTTCAATATGGAAATGGTAAGAACTTTAAAAAGAGTCTGATATATATATATATATATAGAGAGAGAGAGAGAGAGAGAGAGAGAGAGAGAGATTTATATTGTGCGATTTGATATTTGCTCTATCCATCGAGTTGAAATTGTGTATATTCGCGAGAATAGACACCATTTCAACGAGTTGGATAACGAGAGGGATAAAGCAAATATCAAATCACACTATTATAGATGTTCTATTTATCTCATTACGATTTTCGTTTTTAACAAAACTTTGATAAAGTCCTTATGAAACTATGAATGATTTCATGATGACGCATAAATATTGATGACGTCGAACTGTTGATGTTGACATGTCAAAAGAAAGTAGATAATGTACAAAATATACAATTTTTGATATCTGCATCTTTTAAAACATATTTGACAATCTGTTGGAAATTTATTTCAAACTAACATTTGACTGAAAGTCGTAAGGACCTAGGGATCATGAATTCTACTCTGAAGTTATTCTTTGTACTATGACAGTGTTCATGGTGCTCGGCTACTTGTAGATCATAGTAAGAGACAATGTATATAGTAAAATGTAAGAAAGCATTCTTGAAAGTGGCTAGACTTTTCTGCATGGTCAAACAAATACCAAAGGAATCTTGAACCAACAACTTACCTGCTAGGCCATACGTTTCTCATTGAAACGATTTATGGGGGTGGGGTGGGGGGTTAAATCTGTCTTCGTAGTAGCCAGTGCGGATACATTGTTAAAATTTGACATTTGATTGAAATATCAAGTCTTTTTCTTGCTTTTAACGAAATTTTTGCTCATTATCATTAATTTTGTGAGGCAGGAATTTTCATAAATCAAAGATTCAATAGATTGAAATCATGAAGCGAAGAATTATATCAAAACCGGAGGTGCTATTTATAAAGCAACTACCTGTGGATAAAGCATAGGTTTATCTTATGAAGAAGTATCCTCCCTCCAGATACCGATGTATGATATATATAGGATCTCCCATGATTTGTAGTTGGATATGATTTTTATCCAACGAGTTGTGTGTTTTGTATCCCCGAGCCTTGGCGAGGGGATAAAAACACACAACGAGTTGGATAAAAGTCATATCCAACTACAAATCATGGGAGATTCTTTTTATCCCATGTTTAATACTTCACAACCAATGTTTTACACTGTTTTATATAGGACTCCACTTCATTTTACTTCATCGCGCTAACGCAAAAACCATTGTGACGTCACAACTGTGGATTATGAACAAATTATCCAATGAGTCATATCCACGGGATAAAGGGGTAAACATGGGATATATATATTCTTTGTATAAAGGGGTAAACATGGGATATATATATTCTTTGTATATATATATATATATATATATATATATATATATATATATATATATATATATATATATATATAT